TTCCTTGCTTCCTTCCTTGCTTCCTTCCTTGCTTCCTTCCTTGCTTCCTTCCTTCCTTCCTTTAATGGTTCAGTCGGTCAGTCGGTCAACTAACCGTTGTTTTTTGTTCATGTTTAGAAGCCAAGTGTCCACCTATACCTTCACCGTTCCAAGGCTCTTCGACCTGCGCATCACCATTTAAAAACCCAGACGAAATTTGCAAGTTTGAATGTAACGAGGGTTTCCAACTAGTTGGTCCAGAAAGGTTGAGGTGTTTACCTTTTGGAACATGGAATGACAAACCACCATTGTGCCTGAATAACCCAAGTAAGGATGTTGTTAAGTATCCTTTTTCAATGACAGGTGGTGTGCGTTACTAATACGAAGCCTGTCACCACTGTTTTTGTGGGTTTAACTCTCCTACCCACCATTACAAGCGAGTAGATCTGCTTAATTGATAGTTTCTTCTGTGCTTTGAGGGAGGAAAACCGGTAACCCATAGGAAAACCATGTACTACTTTTTCGAGGTATTCTTACAGCTCGCTAGATACACCGTGCTGACGAGGCCCAATACAGGCCGAAACAGCTGTCCACACTTTCTATTTGAGCTTGCTCATTTTACGCAACTTGAAGTTGTGAAAGGTCCATTGGCCCTCATCTTCAGTCGTTTCATATAAGGCTCGTAATTTACCTATTACGCATGTTCTCATACGATTTTCGAGTCCATCCCACACGGCTTACAGCCTCATCTACCATAGAAAAACCCTTGAAACAAGGGAGATACCTACCATAATTCTGCTCACATGTAACGCCGTGTCCAGGAATAGAACCTGATATTCAAAACATGAGATGCGAGTGCACTACCGCAATGCCATTCCTGATTCCCATCGCATCGTTACTTTGGTCACTGAGTTTCTCTTATCTATCATGATTTTACAGTTAAACTTCGATTGGCAGGACTCGGACCTGAAAGGCCGAATGCTGGTCGGGTTGAGATACAAGTGGGTGACACGTGGGGCTCTATTTGCAGAGACAAATGGACGCAAGTGAATTCTGAACTCGTGTGTCGAACTCTAGGGTACAAGAAGCCAATTGCGACTTACATTGATGTTTCAACTCTTAAATCGCCAACCGGAAATTTACCAATATGGCTTGATAATGTTGTTTGTGATAAAGGAGCCCAAAATCCTCTAGAGGACTGTCGACATAATGGATTTGGTATACATAATTGCGATGTTGAAGGGCATTCTCAAGATGTTGCTATCGAGTGTAGAAATCAAAGTACGTATGATTGGTTTATAGCTTGCCTGCTTGCCTGCTTGCCTGCTTGCCTGCTTGCCTGCTTGCCTGCTTGC